GGATCGGTGATCTTAGTTGAATACTCATAATCAAGTGGGTAATGTAGGGTCATCAATGGCTGCGGCTTTTAGCCTAGTAACAAAAAACACCGCTTGTGATGCCTGCTAGTAAATGGCTGACTTTGTTAAATAGTGGTTGGCTTTATTGGTATGATCTTTTAGTGGGAAAATCATTGCCAGAAACGACGGTAAAAATTTATTTGTTGGCAAGTTAGTTAAACGTTAGCTGGCCCTTAAATCAATTAATGAGTTTGATGATTAATTAGGAAACGTTAATACTTTGAATGCCCCTGGAAGGGGCTAGTGGTGATACTTTCAGTCATTTCCTATTATTTTCGATGATGGTGAGCCGACTGCGGGTAGCTTAACTCTTACTCTCGGAGATCGCGTACGGAAACCGTGTTGGGTGAAAGTACGCTAATAGCTGGAGACTATCTCGTCTTCAGATCGTTCCCCAGAAAACCAACTGTTATTGGTTGGTCGAAAAAGTGAGCCTGGAGAATATCTCCGTTGTGGATTTGTTGTTGAGATGAACCACTGAGGACGAGGCTGATAAAATTTTGAGCAGATGTGGCTGCCCAAACTCCTCAGGGTAGTTTTCTCTGGCTGGTTGGTGTAGCGAAATCTGATCTGGCACCACCAGATCAATTTGAGAAGCGATCACAAAATCCTAAACTGTTAGAGCAGATTTTTAGTAAAGACATTAATTTTTTAATAAATAACGTTAAACTTACTTCTCATAAAGAATATACTTACTTTTTAAACAATACAATTCTAAATTATGACAAAGAAAAAATAAAAACGTATGACAGCATAGATTATGCTACTAACAAAGGTGCTGATAAATCTGATAGTGATATTTATGTAAATTTTCTAGACGAATGTCTCAACAAAATTCATAAATTCTCACCTCCACATAAGACTAATATAAAAACTAGAACAGTTGTTATGTCAATACGTATATATTTAATATGCAAACGTTACTACGTAATAAATTTAATTATTTAACAGTACAAGAATACAAATTACAAAATTATTTAACTACAATATTATAGCAAAAGTTATAACTAGCGAAAAAATTAATTAAAGGGTTTTCATACCAAAAATACAGGTAATTCATCTTCATTAATTTTTCTTTTATAGAGAAAAGAATTTTCTTTAGCCTGAGCGTTTAACATTACTATAAATAAATTTGAATGTCAAAGTTAAAATAATATTGGATAACATTTACAAAAACTACTGTTTTCACATGGTCAATCACAGGTCAGGTTTTCAAGATGCAAAATGAAACGTGTCTAAAAGTGAAATTCGCCTTAGTGTATTTATTTGTATAAGTGGGTAACATTGATATCCTGGTCATTTCTATCGGAAACTGTCCGTCTCTCAACGAAAAGTCCGCGGCAGGGCCTTCTCTAGGTGGAGAGTTACAACGGGAGAGCGGAGCTGAGCCAAGCAGTGGTGCGGAACGAGATTTGAAAAAGGATTGTAGGCGTTCAGAGGTGATTTTAGTGCGTTGTAGCAGGACAGGCTCTCGTTGACGTAAGAATGTCGATTAGAGATAAAAATTAACGTTACGGTTAATAAAAAAGACAAAATTATATTGTCTTGTTATGTGTAAATATTATCTTTACGATAACTGTAAAGTTTCATTAAATATCCTCAATTGAAAAAAAGGTTTTTCAAATACTAATTTATTTTAAAAAATTACCTTCTTTAATAATAAAACATCAAATTAAAACATCTCTTTTATATATAAAGCAAAGTCAAAAAACTGTCGTAATCGCTAACCCAAAAAACTATTCGATCAATCTTGCTGAAATTTTGCAGTCACTGATTATGTACACTTTCTTAATGGTGTCTATGGTTACAAATAATCTAAAATTTTAAAAACATCTGCTATGTAGCGTGGAAGTAAAATAGAAGCTCCTGCAATAAAATTAAATGGGCTTGGTTATAGTATCTCCTAATTTCATAATTGTGCTGGTAGTTTATCAAGAATATAGAGTTAAAACTATTGTAAGTTGTTCAGCTACATACCCCAGCTATTGATGACACTTTTCTTCAATAGACAAGCAGCTTACGTCAAATTTTATTTCAAACTACCAAGATTAATAAGTGCCATGAAAAAAAGGCATTCTGAATTCGAACGACTCTACCGCAATAGCAGAAGAAACCAAACAATTTGAAAAGTGCATCTTCAGATTTTCTGGTCTGACATAATCAGTATTTTTTTAGTTGTGGAAAGTTAAAAAAAAAAAATGCTTTAATGGCTTTGTAGTGAACACGTTGCTTCCTACTCAAAGACACTCAAGAAATAGTGGATCAAATCCTGCCAAATAATATCATGATACCAAAATAAACTAAGAATGCCGAAAAAATCTTTTCTTTTTTGATAATTAAAGCTTACAGTGGATTTTGCTAAATAATTTTCTGGATCTAGGGGCTACCTTTCTGAGAGAAGCCATAATCTAGCCAGCTTATTATTAAAATCACTATCAGCTTAAAAAAGATCAGCTTGCCAAATTAGATGATAATTATAAGGAACTTTTTTTAAATTAAACCTGATAACGACTGTGGTATGATTAAGACGGTTGCTGTGCTTTATCAATAGTGTCCAGTGAGATAAATGACCAGCTCATTCCAGAAGAACCTTTCACTAATAGCTCCACGAGAAAGACTCGCACAGTTGCAGGAAAAGGAGTGTAATGTAGGGAGAAAACGGTAAGGTGGTAAAGGTATCCAAGTATAACATGAAAAAAGATTCTATTCTCTACTAGCCCGTAAGATGTACTTTCATTATGATAAGTTTATAGTTTTACAATCAAAACCTTTAGGACCACCTTTTATTTGTATCTTAAAAAATCCTTCTTTTTTTATCAGTTTTTTGAAATAAATAACTCTGCTGTCTAAAACCTTACAATAAATAATCATTAATGTCATGCAACTTATATGAGAATTAAACTTAACGTGAACTTTATTTTTAGTTCGTAAGAGATATTTTAAGTATCTGACAATTATCATGCTATGCTAGATTATCAGTGGCATAAGGGTTTCGTTCTAGTGTTTATTTTCGTTTATATCAAAAAGCCAAATAGTTTTTTTTTTTTTTTTTCCAGATGACAA